GAAAGAATAAGACACCATACATATTTTTTTAACCTCTTTTTTAAATATCTCAATTATTTTTGCTTTCATATTAGCATTAAACGCAACACTCCTGTCCCTGAACACATCACCTCTGTGCCACAAACGCATAGCAATCAGACACAGCCTTTCTGACTTTAAAGCCGTCCCAAAAGTAAGATGTTTTTTGACACCAGGCGGGCGGACGGAGAAGCACAGCGTCGTTCTTCATCGTGAGAATCATCATGGTGGAGAGGAGGAGGAAGAGGAGGAAGAGGAGGGTGTCACTGAGGCAGAGCTTTGAGGATGGCGTTGACCTCCTCAGCGACCGCCGTCAGCGCAAACTCAAACTGATCCTGCACACAGAATAAGGAGAAATAATTCACCCTTAAAACGAGCCTTTGTTTTGTATATTTCCTGTTTCCTTGTTTACGTGACAAACTCTGACCTTGGTGCGGACCATCCCCGGCCTCTGGTCCCGGACGTGCTCCAGAGTCGCAGCGATGTCGATCTCTTTCACATCCTGCAGTAACACACACACACACACACACACACACACACACACACACACACACACACACACACACACACACACACACACACACACACACACACACACACACACACACACACACACACACACACACACACACACACACACACACACACACACACACACACTTTTTGTTTCATCTTCCAAAGCAAACTACAATGGTCTTAGGTCTTGATTCTGCAGATCGATATTGATCGTTGATAATGAACGTGTTTTTGATCTAAATCAGTAGAAGTGCGTGATATCAATAAAGCTCACCTTTAGCCATGCGATTGAGAACCATGTCGATCAGGATGTACGTCCCAGTCCGGCCTATCCCGTCACTTTTCAAACAATATATAATAAAAATAATTAATAATCTGATTGCAAAAAGTCGTTAACGATGTTATTGCTGCTACCCAGTGGACTCGTGTGGTACTACGATGCCATATCAACGCACTCCATTTATCTCCATCATTTGAGTTTATCACTAAATTAAACGTCTTACTTAGTTTCTATTGATCCATGTTGTCGATGGATAATTCAGGATGTACCTGCAGTGCACGATGATGGGGCAGGACCGTCCTCTGTAGCACTTATTCACCTTCCTGAAGAGAGGAAAGCACAGCAATTTAAACAAATAAAAGATATTTACCTATTTAAGCTGGTGCTTTAACTATTCCATATAAACATGGATGCTAGGTACATTATGCATTCTTAAAATATACCTGAGATCATTGCAGTATCCAAAACATGCACAGAACCACTTTACTTTACTTCTATGGCAGTTTCATAATTTACCTAGCATCTATGTTTATATATCAAACTGTTAATTATGTATATTTAAATTAAAACCCTAAGTAGTAAGCTCCAAGGACGGACAACCTCTATATTGTAGGTTTAGGAGATAATACATAAATATGAGGACTTTTTTCAGTCTCAGTGTTCGACTACTAAAGTCTCTTCTGTCTTAAAATCAAAAGTACGATTTGTCCACATCTCCACGCCCCCATACACGCACGCATTACTGACAACTGACTTGCTTAGCTTCGTTAAGTCCTCAGGTTTTGATAAATAGTAAATAAAAGGTGTTTTTCGGCGATGGACCTCCTGCTGCAGCCACATCAGTCCATGATCATTTTTGTGACTATGCAACTGGAGACACAAACTAGCTGCAAACCACAAGAATGACACAGACAGATATGTTCA